GATGAAGTTACAGTAACAATATTCTTATAATATAAAATAATTATTTTATCTCTCGATCATTTTTAATTATTATAAAAAATGAAGAAATCGATCACTCCGAGCTTTTAAAGTTGATTAATTTCAAAAAGGTTTGAATTTAAAATTTTTGAAAATCTTAATTTCTGTGAAAAAATAATGATAATTAAATATTTAAAATATTTTAAAAAGAAATTGAAAAGAATAAATAATACAAAGCTTTTTGTAAAATGAAGCATTTGGGGAATTGTGGGCCACTTTTTTTAGGGAAGTATTTATTGCTTGTTTTCGGCGATTTAATTGCACAATGCAAGTACATATTATTAAAATCACTCATAGCTATAGTCATTTAACAAAAACAATTCCGTTCATTGCGATTCATACAATAAAGATGTTCACTTAAAAATTTGTAATTAATGGAGCATATTTTACTTGTCCAAATTGTGATTCCGATTAATTTCATTTTCTTACTTTTTCTTTTCTAATTTTGAACTAATAATTAAACATTTATAACATTTTTAATATTTCTAACCATTTAATAAATATATTTCATCGTTAAAAAAAAATTTTGTGTGTAAGATATTGAGCTAAAAAAAGTGTGGCCCACAATTCCCCAATCTCCCTTACATAAAACTTTTGTATTTTTTTATATAAACGAGTATGTTTTCACTTTGTAATTTTGTTTACAGAATTGATTTCGAAATTGTTTTTTACTTACTTAATAAGCAATTTCTTTTCTTTTAATATTAATTTAATTAATTTAATTTAATTAATTAATTAATTAATTTCTTTTAATATTATTTTCCTAAAATATTAAAATTTTTTTTATTTGTTTTTCTACATAAAAGTGAAAAATCTCAATAAAAACTCTATTTCTTTCTTTTTGCAAATCAAAAATTTTTTACTGCTATATTTATAATAATCAACATTAACGTCAAAAAAATCAAAATCCAAAAAATGTAAAACTTTATTTGAGAAAAATTAAAATAAAATAGATAAATTGCAAGAAAAAAGAAAATAAAATTAAAAAAACATGAAATTGAAAGGAAAGAATTACAAAAATTGCATTGAAATAAAAGAATTATTTATAAAAAAATTGAATATTGAAAAATAGAGTTCTAAAACAATTAATTTCTAAAAAATTAAAATGTCAAAAAAGTTGATTTATTGCAAAAAAAGCAGAATTGAAAACCGAAAATTGAATTTTCAAAAAAGTAGAATTGAAAACCAAAAATTGAATTGCAAAAAAATAGAATTGAAAACAAATATTGAATTTGCAACAAAATGTTGAAAAGTAAAGAAAATATAAATTCAGTAACAAAATTAAATAGTTTTCTCATTTACAAAATGGTTTCTTCGCTTATTTTTGTTTTCAACAACTTGGGAGTCGACTTTCTAAAAGATCAAAAACACGTTACTCATTCTGAAAAAAGGAATGAGAAGAAAAAACACAGTAAAAATAGGAGCGCGTGCGAAAATCCCCATAGGATTTGAACCAATTATCGAGGATTGTCGACTAATAGAAATACAAGGATAAAAAAAAGTCGAGAGTTTAATAGAATCGAAAGTTTCACTTTGATTCTATAAACTCTTCGAGACTGTTATAATACGATTTTTCAAATTAATTTCAAACTCGAATATTAAAAAGCAAAAAAAAAAAAATAAAATTCCTTCAAGAAAAAAATTTATAATTTTCTTTTTTTGAAAACTGTTGCTAACTAAAAATAAGATTTTTTTTTTTTTTTTAATTTATTTTCTCGAGAAAAAGTTGCAAAAAACTTGAAAATTTATTAATAATTTGAAATACTGCCAAACTTGAGAAATTTTTCCATCGAAGAAATTTTCCCATTTTCCCCTTCAAAAATATGTATTATAATATTGAGATGGATTATAAATCTAAATTCTATAAAGAATCTAATACGAAAAATAACTGATACACAACAAGTCACTTTTTCCGATACATTAATCTTCAATGTAATTTATTTTTTAACATATTATGTCAATCATAAAATTTTTCATTCATATTTCTTCAGTTTTTTATTTTTTTATTTTTGAAAATTTTAATTAAACTTTTTAAACGTCAAAAACAAAATATTTTATTAAGTATTCACAATTGGTAATTCGAACAATTTTTTTTTGTTTTCTTTTATAATATAAGTTAATAAAAATAAAAAAGAGAAAATAAAAATGGAAAAAACAAATTCCAGCAAATAAATGTTTTATTAATTTAATATGTATTCAATTTTTTGATTGTCAAAAAACCGATTTTATTTCAAGAAAATGTTATAATTTTTTTTTCATTACTTGTACTCACTTTTTTTAAACAAACTCAAGTCTGGCTGTAAATTTACCCGAACTACTTACACTACTAAAACAAAATTTTCAACACAAAACAATGGGATGTCTGATTATAATTTAATTTTACTATATACCCAATGGGAAATTTACAACTGGCGTAGTACTGCGCCAGCACTGGCAGCACTGGCGGCAAGGCTGAGAGCCAGCACTGGCATGGCGCTGGGATGATAACGCCGTCTGGCGCTGCCGAAGTACTGTCTGTCAGTGCTGCCAGACAGCGCTGGCGCAGCACTGGACCAGTGCTGGCTGAGAATATTGCCGCAATAAATGCCGTATTGTTATTAATTAGTCGTAAATTAATAATTATAAATAATTTAACAACAAAATGGTAAATAATATTAATAAATAGTTATTATTCATAAAATATTTCTCTTCTTAAAGAAATTGTATTAAAGATGGAGACTAACAATGAATATAGTAAATGAAGTAGAAAAAAATTGTTTATAACATTTAAAAATTAAATAATAAACAATTACAGTAAGTGTGCATTAGATTTTCATATTTTAGTACCTAACGATTGGAATCTAGAAATATCGCAAACCTATGAAAATAAACAAAATTGCTGACGAGGGGAATCGAACCTACGACCTACGGACTAACAGACTAACGCTCTAACCACTAAGCTAACGACACATGTGTACTGTAAAGTATTAACATCTCAGTATCATTCAGACATACAATTATTGAGTCAAAGATGAGAAAAAAATAGGGATACGTTAGAAATAATAAATTGAAATAAAATAAATTAAACTAAATTTTTAATAATTAAATTAAATTACTTTACTTATTGCATTTAACATTTTACGTAATTCTTAAATTACGTCGTAATTTTTTAATAATTTTTTATTCATAGTAAGAAGTATAATAGTATCTTAATGGGAACCAAATTATTATTGAGATTAAAGTTTAAATTTTGTTTATAATTTTAATTTGTTTAAATAATTTATTATTTACAAAATTAGACAATTGTGTTAAATTGTTATTATTAAATTTAATAAGAATAAAAAATGAACAACTGAAAAGTAAAATATTAATTTTTTTCAATAAATTTATATTTATAAACATTTATAAACTTTTTTTATAATTTTTTTCAAGTTTATGTCAAAAGAGCAATGTCGGCAAAGAGCGTTGTGAACAATTTTTCTATACTCAGCCAGCACTTGCCGCCGTGGCTTGTCCAAGCTTTGGCGAAACAAAAATTCTGTACTGCGCCAGCACTAATTGTCGAGGCTCGGCTAGACTACGCCGAACAATCGTCTGAGTACTAAGCCAGTGGTGAACATCGGCACTACACTGGCATTTCCCATTGGGTACTTGTATTAATTTTTTAAAGACACAAAAGTAATTTTCCTGATTGTAAACTTACTTGTACTACTTACGCTAACCAAACAAACTTTATAAGGCGAAAAAAGTATTTTTTCTGACTACAATTGAGTTTTACTACTTTCATCAAGGTTGTTATGACAAAAAATGTCATGTCTGACTACAATTGACTTTTACTACTTATACCATCCACGTGGAAAGATTCCCTGGAAATATCAATGTTTTTAAGAGAAAAATCATAATTTGTCCACCAATAATTGAGTTCTACTCCTTCTACGAATATTTCCAATTAAGAAAAGTGGTGCGTCTGACTATAATTGACTTTAACTATTTGTGACAATTTTTTAAACAAACGAAATAGAATTTCCTGACTGTAAAAATACCTATACTTCTTGTTATGTATGAATTCGATTATTCTGATTATAATATTATTAAAGAAAATCTATATATTAAGCGAATTCAGACTTAACTAATTAGTTAAGTAATTAGTACTAATTTTTTAAGCTGGAAAAAGTGAAAATCGTCTTACCTACACTACTTACACTATCATAGTCTGTCTGACTACACTTGAGTTTTACTACTTATATTATTATTCTATTAATATGTTCAACAAAAAATTTAAGTATTTCGTCTGACTACAATTTACTTTTACTACTTATTCGAATTTTTTAATCAAATAAAATTGATTGTAAGAAATCGTTTCTCAATGAGATAAGGAAAAAAATGGTAAAAGTTAAAAATACTTTTATAATTTTTTGAAAATATTATACCTTAATAACTTAAGAAAAAACTATGGAGAGTTAAAATTATTATAAAAAATTGAGTTTTTGTATTTAATAATTGAATTCTAGAAGAACTTTTGGAAAATTATTTAAATTAATTGATTCAGAGATGAAATTTAGTTGAAAATTGTAGAAAATAATTGAATTCAAGAAAGGTTATAATTGTAATTTTTAGAAATTATTAAAATTTATAAATTTTACTCATTTTCCGTAAACATTAATATTTTCCTGTCTCTAAATCTGGATGAGTGAAAGACTGCGAAAAACAGTGACTCTGTTCCCGCGATTTGAATTAGTGGAATTTCACTGAAAATCAGTTGAAAATTACTGAAATATCAGTCAAAGAACAAAAATTCAAATTGATAACAAAAGAAAAGATAAAAATCGATAAGAAAAAAAGAATTTTCTTCCTGTCTAGTTTAGATAAAATGGTATGTAATTTTTTTCCCCTCTCTCTCTCTCTCTTTCTCTTTTTTTGATTCTCTTGAATGAATAGAAATCTCTTTCTGTTTTGCGTTTAAGGTTATGGGAACACTTGCCCTAGGACCAAATGGGGTAAAGTGGCAACGATAGTGTACGCCATTGTTGGAATGCCACTTTTTCTCCTCTACCTCAGCAACATTGGCGACATTCTCGCCCGGAGCTTTAAGTGGACTTACGCCCGTTGTTGCCTTTGCAGGTGTGCATAAAAGCTCCTCTCTTTGATACACGACCAGAATAACACAACACTGGATATAAACGGTTAAATCTAAGCTTTTCAACCGTTTAAGTAATGGCAAAGCTTTTAATTATGTTTCTTGATGAAACTTATTCTTCACTCGCAAAACAAATTGCTTCTCTTCATATTTATTTTACAATTTTTTTAATAATGGTGAAAATAAAATACAAAAAAAATAATTTATTTTTATAATATAATATCTTTATTACTACTACTATAATAATAATAATAATTATTATTATTATAATTTTTATTAAAAATACTTATGGAAAATTATTTTTTTAATTTATTTATATTATTTTCATTTTTTAATTAATTCAAATAAATCTTTATTATTCTAAAAAAATTATTAAATGCTTTTATTGATTATTTTATATTTTTGCGTTTCAAAGAATTTTCAGTTTCTTTCGGAAAATTTCTATTTATTAATTAAAATTTCAACGAAATATATTAATTTTTTTTAATAAATGAAAAATTTTATAACGTCTAAATAATAAAATACTTCTTATAATCACAATTATTGTTGTACAAAATTTTCTGTTTTTTTAAATATTACAAATACTTTTCACATGTGACAATCACGTGCACCTTTTTTTATTACATAAGTTTTCGCACTTATTTAATTACTGAACATTTATCTATATGAAAATTTCAAAAATTGAATTTTGGCAATTGTGCTTTATGTTTATTATTTAAAGCAACCTCTTACAAAATTTCTGAACACGATTTTAAAATTTCTAGAGCTCGATTTTAAAATTTACGAAATCATAACTTTTAATTATTTGGATATTTATCGATTTATCTTATTTTGCTAACTAAATCATGAGTTTTTTTAAGAAAAAGAATAAAAAATTTTGCAATATTCCTATCTCTAATCACGATTTCTTAACAAAGTTCTGTTTTTTTAAAAAAGCAAGTAATTTGCATTATTTCTATTCCTCAATTACAATTTTTTAACAAAATTCGAAGTTTTTTTTAGGAATAAAGGAAAATTATTTTTATGAATCACATTTTCTTAGAACATTTTAAATTTCTTTTCGGAAAAAAGGAAGAGTATTTCCAGAATTGTTAATAGGAATTATTGTTAATTGTCTATATTAAAATCAGAATTATTATTATTATTATTATATAATTATAATTATATTATTATATAATTATTATATAATTATTATATAATTATTATTATTATAATTTTTAATAAGTATTTTCCATAAACTAAAAGGAGAACACATTTATTTTCGATTAAAAAAAAAAAGTTTAAAAATAAAAAACAAAGTTTTCAAGAAAAAAAAATAAAACTTTTGTGGAAATAACCTTTTTAATGTTTCAGAAAAAAATAGTAATAAATTAATTTAAGAAAATTGTCGTTCTTAAATAAGAAGTTTTTGTAAATTGTTTTAACTTCGTTAATCATGAATTTTCCCTAATGGTTTCTTAAAAGTTTTTTGTTTGAAAAAAAAGTAACTTCGTTCCTTATAAAAGGAACTGCATAATCAAGATGGTTTTGCCTGTAAAGTGAGTTTAAAAGCTTTCAATGATTCCCCAGAGTTTTTAAATTCAAAACTATATTTATTATTAATTATTATAATTCCCCCATCTGAATTCTTATTTCCCTATTTTTCTCTCCTCATATTCAATTTTTCTTCCCTTTTTCTTCAATTTTTCATTTTTTTCTTCAAAAGAAAAAAAATACAAATAAATTTTGCAAATTTTAACAATATTTTCACAAATACAAAACAATTAATTTAAAAACAAAAATAGAATAAAATATAATTATAATAAAAATATATACCCAGGTGCGAAAAGTTGGTCGGGCCATGGTCGCGCCGACCAAGTGGATAGTCGTGCCGACCTTGGCAACCAAAGGTCGGCCGAACTAGCGAATTGTAACACCCGCCGTCCAGTGGCTGACATGGTCGGGCCGACTATGGCTGCCAAAGTCGGACCGACCAGGGGTGCCAAAGTTTTGCCAACCATGTGAAAGAATGTCGGCTTGACTTTGGCAACCATGGTCGTGCCGACCTTGGCAGCCAAAGGTCGGCCGAACTAGCGAATTGTAACACCCGCCGTCCAGTGGCTGACATGGTCGTGCCGACTATGGTTGCCAAAGTCGGGCCGACCAGGGGTGCCAAAGCTTTGCCGACCATGAGAAAGAAGGTCGGATTCACTTTGGCAACCTTGGTCGTGCCGACCTTGGCAGCCAAAAGTCGGCCGACCGATTGCAAAAAATTATTAATTATTTATTATTATTATTAATTATTATTATTCATTATTTATTTGTTTATTGTATACATCTTAACACTAAACGCAATCTTACACATAAATACAAATTAAAATTTCTAACGCTCGCAGGAATCGAACTCGCAACCTAACGCACCGAAGTCTAACACGCTAACCATTACGCTACGCTTACATGAAAGCCTAAGAACAAAAATGATTTTATAAGCTGCAACTTCAAACTGACCATCGGCCCGACTCTGGCCAAAGTCGGCCCGACCAAGTGAAATTAGGTTTTTTGCACTCTGGCTGCCATAGTTTTACCGACCGTCGGCCCGACTCAGGCCAGAGTCGGCCCGACCAATTGAAATTAGGTTTTTTAAACTCTGGCTGCCATAGTTTTACCGACCGTCGGCCCGACTCAGGCCAGAGTCGGCCCGACCAAGTGAAATTAGGTTTTTTGCACTCTGGCTGCCATAGTTTTACCGACCGTCGGCCCGACTCAGGCCAGAGTCGGCCCGACCAACTAAAATTAGGTTCTCTAAACTCTGGTTGCCATAGTTTTACCGACCATCGGCCCGACTCAGGCCAAAGTCGGCCCGACCAACAGAAATTAACCTTTTTAAACTCTGGCTGCCATACTTTAGCCGACCATCGGCCCGACTCAGGCCAGAGTCGGCCCGACCAACTAAAATTAGGTTCTCTAAACTCTGGCTGCCATAGTTTTACCGACCGTCGGCCCGACTCAGGCCAGAGTCGGCCCGACCAATTGAAATTAGGTTTTTTAAACTCTGGCTGCCATAGTTTAACCCACCATCGGCCCGACCAACAGAAATTAACCTTTTTAAACTCTGGCTGCCATACTTTAGCCGACCATCGGCCCGACTCAGGCCAGAGTCGGCCCGACCAATTGAAATTAGGTTCTCTAAACTCTGGCTGCCATAGTTTTACCGACCGTCGGCCCGACTCAGGCCAGAGTCGGCCCGACCAAGTGAAATTAGGTTTTTTGCACTCTGGCTGCCATAGTTTTACCGACCGTCGGCCCGACTCAGGCCAGAGTCGGCCCGACCAATTGAAATTAGGTTTTTTAAACTCTGGCTGCCATAGTTTAACCCACCATCGGCCCGACTCAGGCCAAAGTCGGCCCGACCAACAGAAATTAACCTTTTTAAACTCTGGCTGCCATACTTTAGCCGACCATCGGCCCGACTCAGGCCAGAGTCGGCCCGACCAACTAAAATTAGGTTCTCTAAACTCTGGCTGCCATAGTTTTACCGACCATCGGCCCGACTGAGGCCAGAGTCGGCCCGACCAACTAAAATTAGGTTCTCTAAACTTCGGCACCCATAGTCGGCCCAAACTTGGGTGGAAACAGTAACCAAAGTCGGCCCGACTTTGGCTGCCGACCTATTGGCAGCCATAGATGGGCCGACCTGCGCCCGACCTTCCAACTCTGGCGGCCGACCAAAATTCGCACCTGGGTAGTAAGAATAGAAACAGAAAAAAACTATTGTTAAATAGTTTTTTTTCTGTTGCTAAATAAATTTTTGGCAAATTTAGTTGGCCAATAGATCTTCAGTTACTTCAACTTGACAGAGAAAATTATTGACAATAAAATTATTAAATTAAAAACTAAAAGTGGAAAATAAATTAGATAATAAAAATTTAAATATTATTTTTAGTTTATCTTGAATGCGAGTATTAAAAACTTTGTCATTTCAATTTCATTTGGAAATATAATACAATTACAATTTGCAAAGAAGAAGAAGAAGTTGAAACTCTATATTTTCCTTTTACAATCTTCAATTTCCTTAATTCTTTAATTTGTAGTTAAAGCAGAACCTGGCATAAGTAAAAAGTTGAATTGAAACTCTCATAAATTTTAATTTCTCTTTTAGATGTCGCAAGAGACCTCGAGGACCTCCGCCTCCTCGAGAACAAATAGCAAAGAAAAACCATTGGCAAGTAAGTATATAAAAATAATTTTCAATTAATCAGCCCCCCCCCCTATTTTTCCTTATAAGTTATTTTACAAAGAACAAATTTCCAATTCATTTACAAAACACATTTTTCATTTTCAATTTTATTATTTTATTTATAAAATTTATTGATTTATATAAATATTAATTTATAAAATTTATTTATTTATAAAATTTATTAAGAACAGAATAGAAATAATAAAAATAAAACAAAAAGTAGTTTTAATAAATAATTTGAAATAAAAATATTTTGCAGATGGTAAATTTGCATGGGAGTGAAATGGACACTTCAAGTCTGGATCAGGAAAATAGTTCCCATACGGGAGAAATTGGAGAAGGGGAGGAGGAAGAAGGCGAAGATGATGATGAAGACGACGATGACGAAAGTGATGGAAAATATGATCCACAAAGGGTCACTGTTCCCCTCACTCTTTGTTTTGCCATTATGGTGGGGTAAGTTTCAAAATTAGACTACATTTTTCCAGCTTTAAAATATTTTTCTAATAAAATTGTTCTCATTGAATTTAAAAACAAAGTTTTTTATAATTCAGAAGAATTTAGACAATATTTTTCATATTTAACAACAATTTTATTTCTCTATTCAATTATTTTTCTATTTATAAAAGAAATATTTCAATAGAAATATATATTAATATACCTAATACTCTTTAAATTTGAATTAGTGACTGACTTTTTGCTTTTGAAACCGTAAATTTTACTAATAAATAAAATTAGTAGAAATTACTATTTACTAGTAAAATTTACTGACTTTTTTCTATTGAAATAGTAAATTTTACTATAAAGCAAAAATTCCGTCACTAAGTCAAATTAGTAAAAATTTTTATTAATTCAAATTTATAGAGTAAAATTTAACTGTTTGTTTACTCAGGGCTCAAACCGGTAAAAGTATTTAAAAGTACGGTCCAAGTTGTTCCATTATCCAAGTCCAATTATTTTTAATAATTTTCGAAAAAATTTTGTTAAGAATTTTCAAATACATTTGTTTACAATATTGAATTTTACGAAATTTCAATTATTCGTAAATTATAGGAAGTTTTTATTTCTTAGTAGATATTTAAATCTATTAAGAAATAAAAACTTCTAATAATATAAAAAAAATTCAATTAAACTTTTTCAAAAAAATTTATTTGAAAATTCAATTATTTCTAAAAATTTACGCTATATTATTCTTAATATTCAATTATTATTTAAAATTTTAATTGCAATTAATTTTTGAATCAATTTTTATTACAAAATTCTACTAGAATTAAATTATTTAAATACAAAAAAAATAATTTATTGAATAATTGCATGTTTCTTAAAATTAAATTCTCATAAACAATTGTGTCAACAAATTTTTAAATAATAATTGAATTCGTTTGACGAATTTCAATAAAATTTTTAAGAATAATTACATTTTTCGAGGAATTTGATTAAAATTGTATTAAAAATAATTGAAAATCTGCAATAAGTTTTATTATTTATGAAAATAATTGAATTCCTAAAAATAATTTTATTGTTTATGAAAATAAATGAATGCTTGTAAAACTTGTATTATTTATGAAAATAATTGAATTTCTGTGAAATTTTTATTATTAAAAAAAAAAAAATCATTAAATTATTGAATTCAGAAAAATTTTTAAAAAGTAATTGAAATTTTTTCAAGAATTTTACTAAAATTTTTAGAAATAATTGAATTTTGCAGAAGAATTTTATTATTTCTAAAGACGATTAAAATTTTGAGGAGAATTTTTAAAAATTTTTTAACATAATTGAATTTTTGCGAAGAATTTTATTACTTTTGAAAATAATAAAATTGAATTTCTGCAATCATTTGTAATTTTTCTGAAATTCTCTAAATTATATCGTATAATTTACGAATTTTTCGTCCTTTTTCAATGAAATTACGGACTTTACGGACCTTTTTTTTAAAAAAATGACTTTTTCGGATTTCAAGCAAAACGGACCTAGGTTGAGCCCTGTTAGTTAATATTTATTAAATAAATATTAAAAAAATATTTATTGAATAAATACAAATGAAAATATTTATCAAATAAATATAAAGAAACATATTTTGTCAAATATAAATACAATTCAAAGTATTTACTAAATAAATATAAACAAAAATATTTTTCAAGTAAATACGAACGAAAATATTTATTAAATAAGAAAATAAAAATAGTTCTCGCAAATGATCCAGCAATTAAAAATTATAATTTTTTCAAATAAAAAATATTTTTATACTTAAATTCTTCAAAGAATAAAATCAATCATAATTTCACTATATATTGGAAAATTAGGTTTTTAAAAATGATTAAAATCTCTAAAATACTGAAAGTTATATACGAAGAAATATTTGAAAATATATTTTTCCTCTTTTGGTATTTATTTTATAATGAAAGTTCCTTACGTATGTATAGGACAGTTTGTTGTAAACTCTGTTGGAAGTTGAAAAAGAGAAATTCAAAATATATTATTAGAGGGAAAATCTGCTTAGCATAAAAGATGAATAAAAAATCTCTCTCTCTCTCTCTCTCTCTCTTTTTCTTTATATATAGGAAAACGATTTTTTTTCTCTTTCTCTCTGTGTACATGATCGTACATATAGGTATGTATGCGGGGGAGCTTTTCTCTTTTCCGAATGGGAGGAATGGGATTTTCTCGACGGCTCCTACTTTTGTTTCATATCCCTATCCACAATAGGCTTCGGTGACATTGTACCTGGTGATAAGATCACAGGGCAGGGCCAGGGCTTCGAATTGTCTTTCGTTTTCTGCTCTATGTACCTGATGCTGGGTAAGCACTTTCGATAAATTCCATTTTCTTTTTAAATCGTATTGTCCTTTCTCTCTCTCTCTCTCTCTCTCTCTCTCTTTCGCATATTTCTCTCAATCAAAAAACAATATCATATGTATATTTATAATAGTATTGTATTATAATTAAAATATTATTTTTTCTTATTTTATTATTTTTCTTTTTATTTATTTTTTTTCTATTTTAATTAATTTTTGCATTTTTATTCAATTTTCCTATTTTTATTCATTTCTTGTTTATTCATTTTTTCTATATTTTTCTATATTTTTGAGTTTTTAATCATTTTTCTATTTTTATTAATTTCTTTTATATTGATTTTTTGCATTTTTATTTATTTTCGCGTTTCTAATCATTTTTTCTACTAACTATAATAATTTGAATGTTCTTTCATTCTTTCATTCATTCACTTTTTCTGCCCCTCACACTCTGAAGTTGTCTTTTGTTTATACTTTTGTTTTTTGTTATAACTTTAGATAGATTTTATTATTATGTTATAATTATTTTTATTTTATAATTAATTCAAAATTGTAATGACAAATAGAAATCATCAGAATTTTTTGCACTTCTTTTCATTAAAAGACTAAAATTTTGTTAAATATTATAAATGTTTTGTCAAATTGAAATTATGCAGATTTTTGTTCTTTACTTCTAAACAAAATTAAAAAATTGTTAAACAATTGTGATCAAGAAATAGAAAATTTATTTATTTTGCATTATTTTTCTTTATGAATCACAATTTTTTTTAACAAAATTATTATTTTGTTTTAGAAAAAGAAGAAAAATATTTGCACAATTCCTATTTTTAATCGTATTTTTGGAACAGGATTTTCCACAGGAATTAAGACATTCAAAAATTTCAAATTCAAACCTCTTTTAAATTAAACAATTTATAAAAGTTGTGTGATCGATTTCTTCATGTTTTCTAAAATAATTAAAGATGACCGAGAAATGAAATCATTATTTTATATCATGAGAATATTGTTACTGTAACTTCATTAAAATTATTTTTATCATTTTAATTCAATTATTATTTTCTAGAATTTTAAATTATTTTTTATGAAAATAATAATTGAATCCCTGTGAAATTTTTATTATTTATAAAAATAATTTAATGTTTGCATACAATTTTATTAAATTTCTTTTTAAATAGGGGAGACTGGGGCGAAAAGTTAAACTGCCAAAACCGTTAAAATTCATTATCTTTCGAACGAAAATAGTTAGAGCATTGCAATTTTAATTATAGAAGGGTGTTATCACCCTAAATAAATGTCCGGAGTTGTGTGCAATTCTGTTTATTTTTGTGGTGTCGATATTGAAAGTTTTTTTTCAACCTATTTTTGAAAATTTTTCCGAAAAAGAAAATACCAACTTTTAAGTATATTTTTTGAATTAATTCTCATCGCGATTTTTTTAGATCCTTATTTGGGTCTCCTGAAGAGATACCTACATGTATTTTCTAAATATCTTTAGTCAGATTTTTAATATTTGTTGTTAAAGCCAAAAACGCACCCTGGGGCGAAAAGTTAAATAATGGGTGGGGCGAAAAGTTAAATGTATTTTTACATGTTGTTAAAATTTTTTTTTATTTTTCGTTTTTTTGGGTTTATTTGTTTAAACATTATTTATTTGACATTTGGCAAGTACTCTGTCAAAAAATAAGCCGGTTAACGTGAAATAAACCAAAAAATTTTTTTTTTCAATTTTTTAACTTTACAACTATTCTAAAGCTTTTGTCAAATAAACAAAGATCTCTTATTTACTAAATTACTTGTTTACGTATACTTTAACTTATCTACTACTTATCATCTGTCAGAAAATAGTTTTAGTAGGCTAAAAATAGAATTTAACTTTTCGCCCCAGCCTGGGGCGAAAAGTTAAAAAAAACAAAATTTTCAAAAAAGGACAAAACATGTATTTTATGCGAAAATATCAGAAACTTTTTTATTGAAAGTTGTAGGGGACAAGTGACCTTACAATATTCATATACAAATATTTGCATCTAAGCGGCTTATATTGCCAAAAAATAATCTTTTATGCAAAATTTAACTTTTCGCCCCAGTCTCTCCTAATAGAATTCTTTTTGGGAAATTTTATTAAAATAGATAGATATTGAAAATCATTGAAATTAGAAATAAATTTTTTTTATATGCTTGTTCATAACAAATTTCGTTTGACTGATGATCGAAATTATGCAAATTTCTTTCCTTTTTATTTCTTAAAAATATTATAAAATTGAAAATATTTACAAAGAAAAATTATTAAAAAAAGTTAAGAAACAAAAAAGCAAACAACTTACTTCAAACTGCGAACAGATAACCGGAATATACAGAAAACATACAACTATTATTAATATAGATTGTTAATTGTTTAAAAATTATGACTAAGAAATAGGAAATATATCCATTTTATGCATAATTTTTATTTCTCAATAACAATATTGTTCACAAACTCATTCTTTTCTTATGAGGAAAAAAAACTTTACATATTCCCGTTTCTTAATATTTTTGTAGAAAATTCTTAATTTTCATAAGAAAATAATTTGCATCATTTCTATTTTTTAATTTATTTAAAAATAAAGGAAAAAAATAAAAAATGTTTATAAATTATATTTCTCAATTGCAAATTTTAATTTAAAATGAAATTGAAAATTTTTTAATTTTTAGAAAATGAAGGAAAAAATTTTACTCAAAAAAATCTTCTGTTACATATTTATTTACAAATTTCTTTAATTTTAAAATTATTCGAAAACATCAATAATTTCTTTTTTAAATAAATATTCATTTTATTTTTATTTTTCCACAGGAATTAAGATTTTCAAAAATTTAAAATTCAAACCCTTTCGAAATTAAACAGCTAATAAAAGTATTAACATTATTTTATATTAAGAATATTGTTACTGTAACTTCTTCAAAATTATTTTCATCATTTCAATTCAATTGTTATCTTCTCTAAATCAACTATTTTGAAAATTGGCAAATACATTCGTTTAAAATTCAATTTTACGAAATTTCGATTATTCGCAAATTCTTTAATTATATACACTGTAGGAAAAATTTTGGAAATTTTCCCAAAAAAATGTAGGAAGCAAATTTCACTAATTATTTAGAAAAATTTACTAACATAGATAAAGGAATTTTTCTAAAAAATTATAGAAAACTTCCTATGAATTTAGAAAGATTACCATGAAATAATGTAGACAAAATTCCAAAAGTTTGGAAAAATTCTCTTCAACGTTTAGGAAAATTTCATTATGAAAATATAGGAAAAATTTTCATGTAACTTCAAATTATTTTTAAAAAAAATTAAATTAAACTTTTTCAAAAAAATTAATTCTTTAAAACTGCAAATTAAAAGTAATAGAAAATTCAAATTTTCAAATATTTTAATTGGAATGTTTTTTTAATTTTAATTCTTATAAAGAATTTTATCAACAAATTTTCAAATAATTGAATTCTTTTGACGAATTTTAATCAAATTTTTAAGAATTACTACTTTTTTCGAGGAATTCGATTAAAATTGGACTGAAAATAATTAAAATTCTGCGTTGAGCCTTATTATTTATGAAAATAATTAAATTCCTAAACCAAATTTATTATTTATAAAATTAATTGAATTCATAAAAAAATTTATTATATATTTATAAAATTAATTGAATTATTGCGAAGAAATTTATACAAAAGTCGAGCAGATTTACAATTTTTTTCATTGTTTGGTTTTCTTGCATGTTTGTTTGCATTTTTATTAATTTTTTCTATTTCCATTAATTTGCTTCTTTATTAAACTTTTGCATTTTTATTCATTTAATCATTTACTTATATTTTTTCTGTTTATTTACTCTATTAATTTTTTTATCTGGGAATTTATGTACTCCCGAAAAATTTTTAATTTTTTATTTAAAAAAAGGAGTTTGGATTTAACCGATACAAGAAAATTCTAATTTTATTTATAGAAAATGGAAAAAACTACTGGAATTTTTTTGAAAAAAGGATTTTTTGTTCTCTTTCGCAGGCATGGCATTGATTGCCATGTGTTTCAATCTGATGCAAGAGGAAGTGATCGCCAAGATGCGTTCCCTCGTTCGCACAGTAAAACACATATTCAGGTGTGACAGGTGACGAAGAAAAAGTGGTTGCTGTGAGAGGCTCTCTCCAATGAAAGATTTTGAACCCTCAACACGTCAAAGGCTATCAGTAAGTTACGTTTCACATTCTCCCTAAAATGTCAGAACCACTTTCATTCCATTCTGTTTATATATATATGTATACCTCGTACTATATTCCTATTCCATTTCACATGGCGCAATAAAACAGTCATGGTGTCATAAATTTTTTTACAACCATGTAGAAAAAATCAAAAGATTTATCTTTTATCTTATTTCGATCATAATATTCAAAATCAGAGTTTTACATATATTTAAATACAAAAATAAAATTATTCTCTTGAAATTATTTTTCATTACATAATTTTTCTTTACTTTTCTTTACATTATTTTTCTTGAAATAATTTTCTTCTGTTAATAAGTAAATAAAATAAAAACACCAATAAGGAATGGGAAAAATTATGTCTGACCTGAAATTGACATTGACTACTTTGTGTCGCGTTAAATTTAACAACAAAATTAGAACTGCTTTGGCTTACTGAAACTGGTTTTAACTACTGATAACAAATTTACAACTACTTAGAAACTTTAACTGTGTAACTGATATTTACTATTTACAACATAAACTAATTGTCTGAATGAAACTTGCTTTTACTACTGATACAAAAACGTAAAATGACATTAGAAACTTTTCTATGACTACATAAAGAAACTTTATATTTTATATGATGATAAATTTACGACACCAAAACTAAAAGTGAAATTCACAAAGAATACTTTATGTCTGACCATATAACTTGTCTTTTACTACTTTAACAGAAAAATTTCCGCGAGAGGATAAAACTATTTTTTTGTCTGACTAAAACTGACGATTACTACTGAGGGATACTTTTTTTTAACGGGATATTCAAAATGTTTTGTCTGAACCAGAATAGGGTCGTTACTACTGAGGGGAAAAATTCTCAAAACAAATTAAATGTTGAATAAATTCAATTTTTTTAAAATAAATTCAAATTTTTTTAAGATAAACTCAAAACAGATTTAAATAAAATAAATTCATATTTAATATTACTTATCTGACTGAAAATCCTTTTTACTACTAGATTTTAAACTCTTTGATTCGCTACTGATAAAATTTTAATTCCACTTCCGAATATTCTTGTCTGACTAATTCTGAATTTTACTACTTAAAGGAAAATAAAAGAGTTAAAATATATGTCTGACAATATTTTGATTATTACCACTGATTTCATTTTTTTCAAATTTTCCAAATTTCATTAAAAAAAACATCAATTTAGGAAAGAAAACGACTCCGTTGTCTGCCAACAATTGACTTTTACTACTTATAATTTTTTAACAAAAACAAAGAAGTCTCACCTTGACTTTAACTATATACTTATATCAATTTTTCAAGTGGTAAACGTGTTTTGTCTGACTATAACTATTTTTCACCACTGACACCAAAGAAAAATATTTTTATTTCCAAACAAAGTAACTTAAATTAATAATATTCTTATCCTAAAAATTAACCCAAATTTAAGAGGGGGGGGGGGATTTTAAAAATACAGTTTAAAATTTTGAACTTAACATAATTTATATATAAGTTCACAATTTTGATGACATTATCCAAAGAGAGAGGAGAGAACCGCGCGAGCGTTTCATCATGTCAATGGAAAATTGGCTGGTTTTCATAAATTAACTGAAACTCGTTTCACGTCGATGAACCTTAAGTACATCTAATTCCAGGAACTAGTTTGAGTTACTTGCCGAGATTTAACTTAAGTTCGTTCTCTCCTTACTCTCTCACGTACAGACACACAGAGAGAGAACTGAATTCCTTCCTTTTACGGTATAATAATAAAACTCATGCAAACGCAAGAGAATTCTAAAGATATAGAGAACTACTATAGAATGTAAATGGATGCTTTATACAAGTTTGACGCCCTAAAGGGTTGCCGGGGATATATTATATTTTCAAACTAAAAATATTATAGCTACACCTTTTTTTCTTATTTTTTTTTTTTTTTTTTTTTGAAAACGGAGAACTTTGAACAATGTGCGAGAAAACATATGAATGTTATAGAATCATAATAATTCACCTAATATATATTTCTTGATATTATTTTCTATTCTTTAGTGTATGTGTACTATACACTATTGTATACTATTTTATTATACATATTTTTCTTCTGAAATTTACTACGACACATATATATTGTAAATGATTTTGCACTTATTTGTTTTATTTTGAATTTTTATTTATTTCCAAATTTATTTCCAAAAATATAATGCCCCTAAAGTTTCGAACTTTCAATACCTTAAATAATTTAAATTAGATTTGAAATTATTTCTAATTCCAATCTATATTAATAATAATCGTTCTATTCCGATAATCTGTTCGCAGCTTGAAGTTAGTTGTTGTTTGCTTTTTTGTTTCATAACTTTTTAAATAAGTTTTCTTTTTAAATATTTTCAATTTGAAAATTAATCAATTTAAAATAAGAATCATCGAATTGTTGCAAAGAATTTTATCAAAAAATTTGATAATAAAGAATTCGTTAGAAGAATTTTTTTTATTTAGGAAAATAATTGAATTCTCGTGAAGAATTATGTTAAAATTTATAAAAATTCTATAATTAAATTTTTTTTGAAGAATTTCTTTGAATTTTTTTTACATAATGGAGTTTCTTTAAAAATTATTAAAATAATTGAAGTTTATGAAAAATTTCTTTTAAGTTTTTCAAATAATCGTGTTTGTTAATAATTGAAATTTAACATTTAATTATTGAATTTTATTAAAATTTTAGAAAATAATAATTGAATTTATTAAAAAAATTTATAACAAATTACACTGAGAAAACATTATACTTAATTCAATTAGAAAAATAATTTTAAGTGATTTTTTTTATAATTGAAATTAGTTTGTAAGCTTAATCCCAATATACAGAAAATTTCTACTGCTTTGGTTCAAAAATATTATTTGTTTGAATAATTATGTTTAATTTAAATATATTTTCTATTTTGATTTAAACATAAATTATGTTTAAAAATTTTATCTTTAATTCAAACTTAAAAGTTGATTATAAATAATTTAAAATCAGCTATAACTTATGTTTGAATTAAATATATTATTTCTTTAAATGAACCACAAAATATGTTTTAATTAAACTTAAATATGTTTGACTGTATATCAAAGATATTTTAAGTTTCCCGTGTAGAAATCACCATGCTATGCCTAAAATGATTATTGGCCCTAGCTTGGACCTAACTTGGCAACCCCTTATTATATATCCTAGGCTGGTCCTAATTTGGTACTAACTAGGAGATCCAGTTATGACTTAGAAAAATTTTTAGGAAAATAAAGTGTCAAAATTGATACATGAAAAACATGTAAAAATTGATAAATATTCTCAATTAATATTTATAAAATTAATTGATAATCATATTTGTTTAAACAATTTATTGTTTGACATAAATCAGAAAATTATACAAATATTATAAAATAAAGTTAATTTATTAATTTATTAATTCAGCAATTGTTTAAACAAATAATTGTTATTTACTAACTTTTCACACAATCAACCTAGAAACTAGCAGTTTTTTCTAATTTTACAATAAGTAAATACTCAGATTAGTTAATTGCAAAATTTTAAAAGACTACAAGTGTCTAGACGCTTTATTGTCTCAAGAGTTAATAAATAACAACAATTTTTTGTTTAAACAAATGCTGAATTGTTAAAATTATAAAATATCTCTATTTCATACTTTTTAAATTAGTTTATTGCAAAATTAGGAAACACTGTAAGTTTCTAGGTACTTTGTATCAAGAGTTAATAAATAACAACATTTATTTGTTTAAACAAATAACTGAATTGTTAAAATGATAAATTATCTTCATATTTTACTACTCAAGTGTAATAATCGCGAAATTAGAAAAAAAACTGCAAATTTCTAAGTAATTTGTCACAAAAGTTAATAAAACAGTAACATTTATTTATTTATTTAAACAGATACAGACTGCAATATAATTATCATTAGTAAAATATATTTTTAATTTCGTTCGCTGATTTTAAGTTTCGTATAAGTTGGTGCTAAACACTAAGAGATATTGCAATTCGAATGTGGGCTGACCCACCCAGGTCCAACCCAGGACCTACCTGGGCTTCCTAGTTTCATTAGCAAAAATTTCTAAGTCCAAATTTAAAAAATTTTTTGCAACAAAAAATTAATGTTTAAACTTTAAAATGATTTAAAACAATGAAAAACGTGTTTTTAACATAAATTTTTGACAATTTTTTAAAAAGTGGATCACCCACTTAATTAATTAGCAAAAATTTCCAAGTTCAAAAGACGAATATTTTTTTAGACCAACAAATTAATGTTAAAAATGATGAAAAACCGGTTTTTAACAAAAAAGTAAAGATATTTTTTTCTTGATATAATATAAAAATATTAATTTTTGAATTTTTATATTTGAATATTATTTTATTATTATTGTTGTTGTTAAACTATTTTTTTATTTATTATGGTGTATTAGTGTCAATAAATACTATACTGAATCATCAAAAGCAAGTCAACAAGTCACTGACAATAAGACGTCGATGTTCAGTTAGGCTCCGCAGCATTGTGGTTAGGGCGTTAGTCTTGTAGCCCGCAGGTCATAGGTTCGATTCCCGCGTGCGTTAGATTTTATTTGCTTCGTATAAGTATGCAATTTAAAGATTATATATAGGTACTGTAAAATAATTTAATTAACAAATTTCTAATTATTATATAATTTTTAATGTAAATATTAGAGGAATATATATTAATCTCTGCATATACTAACATTATTTATGAATTCGCTTTTGGTCATCATTTAATTGAAAAAAATAATAATTAATTAAAACCCGTGTGGAAAAAGCCACGTTCGAGCCCCACAGCTCCGAGGCCCCCGTTGGGGGCCCACGTGGAAGATCCATGAGGAGAAATCCACGAGGGCACCAGCAGGGGCCCCGTTCTTTGCCCTT